TTTGAGGAGGTGGTTGACGAGTAAGACCAAATTTAAAGTTATTTTCCTCATATCGCAAAAAGAATGAATCTCTCAATTTTTCTAATTTCTATTTTTCTTGTTTCTTGAATCTTAAAATCGTAGATCAACTGACGCCGGTCAAAACGCAAGAGATGTGTATTGACTCCAGATTCTTGGTCTCACAAAAAGTCAGACACTGTGTCACAAAAAGTCAGACACTGTGTCCCAAAAATTTCATTTGCTTAACTTTTTTGATTTTGGAGTTAAATTTTGTCCCATCTGCCCCTCTGTTCCTTATACAGAGAAAGAACTACAAACATAGTTTCGCACTTCAATGCAACTCGATACATGCAAAAACGAACGGAAAAGCGCGAAATGCAAAATCGTACAAATTTTCTATTGTGTGGTTTTTACTTTTCTCCTTCTGCGCTTTCTTTTCTGTTGACCATTTTTTTATACGAGTAATCCCAGGCGTGCAGTAAGATGATGAACTCAGGCAGCTATTGTAATCAGTTCTTAACTTTGAATTGTGAGTGTTTGCTTCTTCTTTTGAAGTTTATTTGTTATTTTCTTGAGACTTTCACTTTGTTTCATTTTTTTTTTAAAAAAAAGTGTTTTTTCAGCTGCAGATTTCGCTGCTGAAATGGGTTTCAAACGGGAGTCACTTTACACCAATAAATCTTCCATTATTCAGCAGCAGTGGCTTCACAGGAACTGCCAACCCAATTTCAGAATAGTTCGTTTCTGGTGTCTATGTCATGCCGGATAGATAATCATCCGGAAAGCAATCGATAGCTTTACATCCTTAATATTCGTGAGAAAGTCGAAATAAACTCAGTTTTAGAATGTGACGCCCGATCCGAGCAAAAGTTGTGGACCATATAAGCCTGCAAGGGGTATAAGTGGACGTTTTCCCGGCACGCCAGAAGTATGTTTCCTTTATTTTTGCAATTTATGTATTTCTCGAAGTTTCCAGCCCAAAAAGGCACTTCGACGAAATACTGCAACAGTTTCTTCACCCGCATGAGTAAATCCCGAATTTGAATTTGGCTAGCTTAAAATGCGCAAGGTTGTTTACCAGTCCGTTCTTTATTTCCAGTAAGAGAATTCTCTTCACCGTTGCATGAAACGATGAAATAAATTCTCTCTCTGGAAATAAAGAATACAGGTTGCTTTTTGGAAATAAAGAATACAGGTTGCGTTTATGCGTGAGGCCCAGCTCTGGACTATTATTCAAATTTAGTTAATTCAGATTACTTTTGTATATCCCAGACGTTCAGATCAATGATAACAATCACGACACGATTGGTATTGTTGTAGTCGATTTCGAGGGCAATATTGCTGCTGGTACGTCAACCAACGGCGTCAATCACAAAATTCCAGGGTGCGTGAGCATATATGCAGAGGAGTTTCTCTCGTTTCGTACATTATTGTAGGTGTAATCAAATTCTAGGTTTTTTTGAAAAGGATGAAAGATCCGTTCATACCTGAATTCTGCTAGATGAACATCCAGTCCTCATTATTAGTTCATACTTTTCTGGTTTTTATGCGACGAATTTTCACATAATAGATTTCGGAAAATTTCGTTTTCCTGCCTTTTAGAACTAAATTTGTCTTTTTGTTTACATTCATCACTCATAATTGACACGTATTTGATGGCATGCAGTTTTGAAAATTCCAGGCGAATGGGCGATTCAGCAGTACCTGGTGGAGGAGCATATGTTGATAACGAGATCGGTGGCGCGGCAAGCACCGGTGACGGTGATATTATGATGAGATTTCTTTCGAGGTAACGATGATTTTGAGTTTTTTTTTGTGCTAAGAAACTTCGCAGTTAACAATGTGTACTGCTTTTGGATTTCGATAATAGATTTCCAGAATACCGACCGCTCAGTGCACGGTGTCTAGTGAGTGCGTCGACTGGTTGAAGCTCTCTCCAAAAACTTCACGCACTACGCGTTTTCAAAGCAACTAACTCAGTGCTGTTGTTTAAAAAACCAAATTAATTTTTAAAAAACGGCAATTGTAATAAGCAGCAAAATAAGGTACTCACCAGCCGTCCAGGTTTGCTTGAAAACTTCCCGAAAAACTCGCCTGAGTGAGGTAAGGCGCTTAATGCGTTACCACAGGGTCGGATTTTCTTTGATTTCGTTACATGCATATTCTTTTGAGACCAGCAAATGCAAACGAGTATTCTCGACTGCATATTCAATCAAGAAAATATGGATTGGAGAATGAGGCTGGGGTGAAGGGTTATTAACAGTTCCAGCAGTGCCCTACAATAGTTTATAATTGACTTCTGGGATTTCTTGCAGCTTCCAGACGGTGCGAAATATGGCTGAAGGACAAAGCCCAAGGAAGGCAGCCGAAAGAACAATCCACGCAATTGCCAGTAAGTATCCGAATTTTTCGGGTGCTATTATCGCAGCGAACAAAGCGGGTGAATTTGGTGCAGCATGTTACGGCATGGAGACATTCAAATTCTGCATTCAGAATCGATTTTTTAAAGAAGTAAAAGTGATGTCAGTGAAATGCTTATAATTTTTGTTTGACCTAATCTTTGTTAAAAACTTTTGTTGTGGTCCGTTTTTTATGGTCCCTTTCTCTTCTCTGCTGCCTCCATTTCTTGCTTCCGAGCTCCTGACTTGTATCCTTGTTTCCCTTCTCTACCGTGCCTCCAGTTCCTGCTTCCAAGACAGCATCTGGGTTCGTCTCCAGCCCCGTATAATTGCACTCCTCAATCAAACAGCATTTCAGTCTCTTCCCGATCTCGGGTCTCCGCGGCTCAAACCACCAGACTATCTACCCTTCCATTTACACAACCAGTCACGTCACCCAATGCTCCGAGAAACGCTACCAACGCTCAGAGGCGTCATTCCAAGCAGTGGCGGTAAGCGATGCCCAGGGCAGCATTGGCGTCTTAATGGTAAGAAACGAGGGCGTCCCTCAAAAGCAGTCGAGCAAAGCTGAATTCTAGTAATTGCCCAATCCGAGAAGATGAGGGCATCCGGAGTAGTGGAGAAGTGTTTCGGAGGTCCATTGGGGCCCACGCAAGTCAGCATCTGGATGAGAGTGTTTCCGTGCGGGCGGCAGTTGTGACAGCGTGGTGAATACTCGACGCCGAAGCTTGACGGACGACTGATACATGACAGCGTTATCCAGTCGACAGCCTTCAGTATGTTTTGGGCAAGTTGTTGAGCCTGCTCACCTTCCAGATTGTTCCAAAATTAAGGTGCGTGTCAGTCAGGTTGAAGCTGCGGCGCATGAGGGCAGTATGTCAAGATGGCCAAGAGGAGCCTGCAGCCCGCAACAGCAGAGATCGAAGGCAGAATCCGATAATCGACGGTCAGTGCAGGCCGTGCAACCGCAGTTTACACCAACCGAAGAACTCAAGACCATCGCGAGATCGATAACACTGTATTCGCTTATTTACTGCTGTTAATGAAATGCCACAGTTCTTCGCGTACTTCCCAACAGGACACAGCCTAGGATGGAACGCAGCAGGCGACGAGCTAGTGCAATCATGCGTTTTTGCACTATTTCGTGCTGTACCAAGGTCGCAAGGAATCACAGTAACTAGAATTTGTGATCTACTGGCCCTTGATGTTCAAGAAGTTAACTGTGCAGCTACATGGCATGTCAGTTGTAGATGCTGATTTCATTGATCCGTAAGGTTTTGCTAGTGCGCGAAAAAGACCCCACTAGAAGAGTTGAATTTGAAGTCTTTTAGTCGCACACGACTAAAGAACATTCCTTCAAAATTCCAGCCTTCCAGCTTTTCTTGTACTCGAGTTAGCAATTTTTCCTCCAAAACTTTCACGTACCCTTACATGGGACATGAGCGGTTCTAAGGAGTTGAAATTTGAAGTCTTTTGGTTGTATATGGGTAGGGGAAATTCCCCTAAAGTTTCAGCTTCCTAACTTTTCTCGTTCCCGAGTTGGCAATTTTCCCCCCAAAACTTTCACTTGTCCGTACATGGATTCTGCGGGCTCTAAACAGCTGACTTTGGTCGTGCATGAGCAGGGAACATTCCCTAAAATTTCAGCTTTCTGGCTTCTCTCGTTCCCGAGTTAGCAGTTTTCCCGCCAGAACTTTCATGTGCCCGCACGTGGGTCTCGGGCGCTTCTAAACAGCTGATTTTGGTCGCACATGAATAGGGAACATAACCCTAAAGTTTCAGCCTTGTAGCTTTGCTCGTTCTCGAGTTAGTGTTTTCCCGCCAAAATTCCCACGTGTCCGTGCGTGAGTTCGGTCGTTCTAAGGGGCTGGATTTGAAATCTTTTGGTCTTGCGTAAATTATGAACATTTCCGTAAAGTTTTAGCTTTGTAACTTTTCTCGCTCCCGAATTAGTGATTTTCTCGCCAAAATTTTCACATTCCAGTACGTAAAAAAAAAAAAAACCTTTCGTCTTACACCTTGGGTGGTTCCGAGGAGCTAATTTTGAAAACCTTTCGTCTTAAGTGAGTATGGAACATTTCCCGAAAGTTTCAACTCTCTAGCTTTTTTCATCCCGAATTATCAATTTCCCCGCCAAAATTTTCACATGGGCAACTAAAGCTCGGCTCGACTAACCCTCAGCTTGCTCCGGCTTCACCTTGGCTGGCCTCGACTGCACCTCGGCCAACCTTGGCAGCTGCACGAGTTGACGATTTATTGGTAGACGTGTGGCGAGGGAGCAGGGGAGGGGTGGAGGTCGGAGGGGGGGAGGGGGAGAAAAGGGGAGGCACGGGGAGGGGAGAAGGGAGGAACGGGAGGAAGGATGGGACGGAGGGACAAGGGAGGGGAGAGGGCAGTGGGAACGGATGGGAAAGAGGGAGATGGGGGGAACAGAGGGAAAGGTAAAGGGACGGGTGAGAGAAGGGGGCTGCCGTGTGAGAATGGTGACCATGGAGTCGGAGGCACTGGGGAAGGGGTGGATGGGTGAATTGAGTGGGAACGTAGCGTGGCCACGTAGGAGAGGGGGTGATAGGCTAATGGAAGAAGGATCCGTGTGCTGGTTTTGCCGCGGATGCACGAGGTATGGAAAGTGCTCGGGAGGGAGATATACTGCAGAGAGTGTAGAAAAAGGGGAGGAGGTGCGGGGGGAGGGGGGG